GTGTCCCAAGCCCTCAATGCCATAGCTCCTGCTGATTCAGCAGAACTGCAGGTGCACCAGAAGCCCAACAGACACAGAAATGTGTTGGGTTGAACAACCCTGTGATAGGAAACGCTCCTGAGTGTTACCATCTTCTGTCCCCAATGAATCTGTAGCCTAGAGATCAAAAATAATAATTTTGCATCTCCTCAGTGTAGCAGCAGCAGTTGTTTCCCACTGAGACCTGCTTCTGAGGACACAGCTGAAATGTTTTACCCCAGGCCTGGACACCTCCACAGAATTGCAAATACCTGGGCTTCGGCCACGAGCCAAGGTGACACCAGCTCTCCCCACAGTCATGGCCATCCAGCCCACAGGCAACCTATAACCACACTCTCACATCACATCTCAGCAGGCATTACCAACAGCCGCGTTCTCTTCCTCTGTCCCGACCAGATCCCAACACCAAACAAGGACATCTCCAAGATACTCACCACCACTTACTGATAGGCTTTGGCTCACTGAAGGGTGAACAAGAGAAGAAATAAAGTTAACCCTCTCCTTCAGCCAACTTGATGGCTTGGGGGAGGCTTGGACTCCTGCTGTGACCACAGGGAAAAGGATGGCTGCAAAAAGCCACCTGGCCATCTCTTGGCTCTCCTCCCTTGGTTCAATGGCACCAGCAGCAGCGAGACATGACCTCGCTGTCTACCCACTTTTTTCTGAGAGCAAAACAGGGAAGGTGGTGGCTGGAGAGAGAGGACCAAGGTCTTGCAGCAGCTGAAACTTGTCCCTAGAAGAGCTGACACCCTGGGGACTATTTGGGCTTTTTTAGGCCTTAGACCAGAGGTGCCAGCAGGTCAGTGTGCTCTGCAGAAAAACGGCTGCAAGACCAATTTGTCTTAACATGCTGACTGGCCTCCCAAAGTAAGACAGCAAATGCCACAGCGTGGGGCGCTGCGGGTGGATTTCACTGTTGGCTAAAACACAGCAACAACTGCATTAGGAATGGAACACAACATAACAGGCTGGCAAGTGGGTTAGATGGCTGAAAAAAACAGTAACCAGTACAGGATCAGCCTGGTTGAAGCCTCCACAGAGGGGATGTGCCTGGAGATGTGGTAATGATGAACAAAAACCACCCAGAGGAGTCCAAATTTGCAGTTTTCCCTGCATGTGTAGTGAAGCTTTGGTGCCAGAAGCCTTTAAGGAATGCGACACGTGTCCACAAGCACTACTTTAAAAAAATAACAATAATAATAAAAAAAAAGGTCATTGAAACATCCATCCATTTTTCTTTTTTTAATCAGGCCAAAAGCCATTTACCACTCTCTAAACCAGTCCCCAGATCTGTGTGCTCTTAACCCCCCGGCTGAGACCGGAGCTGTGCGGGCAGGTGACGGCAGCCCGTGCCACCAGACACAGCCACAGTTCTCAGGCCATTTGCTCTGCTTGCTTTCGCTGGTGGCAGATTTAATTCCTGCTCTGGTTTGCAGCTTTTCCAGCGTATTTGAGGCCTCTCTACAGCCCTCAGTAAAACTTTGCTGTGTGAACTAAGTGACTGCAGGAAGACCCGATGACATTTTGTACTTATTCCCCAATGAAACCTCTGCAGCTCGCAGTTATGCATCTGCCACCAGGGCTGCAGCAGTGAAGTATGTCAAATGAACAGCATTTTACCGTGCCAAAGCTCCTGTTGCGTAGAAACATCTGCAACAGCCTTGAAACTTGGGCAAAGCAGAACTCATGTTCTGTTCACTGCTTTTTGCTTGAACACACTACTGAAAGGTGGTAAAAGAGGACAGAGCAACATGCATCCAGCCCTACTTTTCATTTTCACTGTGAACACCAATGCCCCCAGTGAATACTCTGCCCTATCAGAGCATTTCCGAGTGCTCTGATTTCTCCTCCCAGTTCTGTGCTCTTGGATTTCAGTGTGATTGCTCACCTTTGCCAAATTCAGTGTTCAGTTACATGCCCTTTGCTCCCTAACTTTTTTTTTTTATCAGAGGTTAAAAAGGAGCCAAACTGGAACTTGATACTGAGTCCTCTTTAATTGCAAAGGGGAGAAATCATCTGTGGCAAGTGTGACGTACAGCAGAAGCAAGAAATGTATAACCTGATGTACAGCAGTAGCTGAGCAGAGAGACATTCTCAAGCTCATTGGCTTCCTGCAGATACCAAGGACTTAATCATAAGAGTTTTGAAGTTTCTAAATATCAAAGATGACAGAGCTCTGCATAATGGGAATAGTTTCAAGTGGGCCACAGCTGCCAGTTCCATCTCTTGGGCTCTGTATACGTAATCCTCCCAAAAAGGATCTTCAGCCTCACTTGACCAACAGAAATCAAGACACAGAACTTAAATGATTTCACAAGGCAAGCGAAAAAGACCCACCACGAGGCCACGTCAGCACAGACTTGCCTCCGCAGCTTTCCCTTCTGGGCTGGGGCAACCTCTACGACAAGGAGGGAAGTTGTGGACTGATGTCCTGGAGTTAGAAATCGTAGTAAGTGATCAACTGATGTCTGGGCAGTGTCCTGCAGGACCACCATGCGTGCAGGCAGCCGACAACAACAAACCTGACACCAAGCTGCTGTGGAAGCTCACAAAATTCCTGTCTCTTGCTACACAATGATGCCTGGATTAAGGTTACGTTCTTCCGTGCTGCATTTTGTCACGCAGCCGCTATTTTGGTCAGAAAGTCAGCAAGCCCTTATTTGGGAAGCTGTCCCACTGAAGGGCAGCATGAAGGGCAGCGAGATGAAGAGGCTGCTTCTGAAGGCAGGCCTGGGGGAGCTGCCGGGAGCAACAGGAAGCCTAAATCTTCCTCTCTGCTTCTCGTTAACGTGCCAACATCCTTTTCTCAGCCTGACCCTTGCATCTCTCTCTCTTACCTCAAACTGCATCCTGCAGGTGAGCTACTCTCACAACACAAACACTCTGGGGAAGACACCAAGAGGGTTTAGAAATTAAATCCTCCTTCTTAGATAGAAAAGCCTTAGTGCTAGTAACTTAAAACAGGTTGGAGATGTGCACACACAGGTGAAGGTGCAGCAAGACAAACACAAAGTCCTCTGTTCAGACGCTTTTTCTTTCGCTCTTCTTGTCACAACACACATCTACAGCAGACTGACCTTCACTTACACAGCTGGACCAGCCACTCCGCTGCCTCCAACACCTGCAGCAACCCAAGGGGACATCTCCCCATGCTAGGTCTCCCTGCCAGCCCTGGAAAGGGCTGCAGGGCAGCTCCAGGCCAGTGGCTGAGGCTGCCAGGAGATGTGCATGCTAACCTGAACCACAGCTATGCCATCTTGCCTTTGTAGACAAACTTGCTCAAGTGGGGCAGGAACCAGCCACACAGCTTGAGATCTCTGATACCCACAGGCACTCGGGTACCACTGAGGCCAGTGGGATTTAAGCGCTGTGGATGTGTCTCTGGGTGGCCTGCCGCTTGCCAAAACAAGTCTCCAATGAGGACTCACACCCCGAGGAACTTCTCACCAGCTGACCTTCTGGCGTACCTGAGGGCAGGAGGTAACAGACAATCTTTTTGTCTTGACTATTTAGCAGAGTTTACCTGGTGGTACGAACCCTGTGACTGTACGCTCTCTCCAGCACAGTGCCTCTTCCACCCAGCATGCTGCTTCTGAGGGTTGCAGACTTCCCTCAGACTTTAAAAGCCCTTGACTCCTGGGTTTTATGTTACTAAATATATTGCTTGGTTTAGGGCTGGGTGGTATTTTTCATTAGTCAAAAACAATTAAGAAGTGGGAACTGGGAAAAGACTTTTGAATTCAAGCTATAAATTTAAAATATTTACCTTGTTTCAAAGTAACATTGCATTTTGGTAACTGGCTAAACTATTAAAAAAAAAATCAATCATGTTAATTGGGTGTTTCAGTAGAAATATATATATTTTTAATCCAGCAGGTGTTTTGCTGCTCTACTGCAAAGTCAGAAGATACTCACAAACTTCCAGCCCTTGTGCCGATCCATGGATTTACACCACCGGGTGGACAAGCACTGGAATTGCAATTTCAGGAACAGTTTGTTGCATTTTAACAGGTGGCTCCTTTCAGTAATAAAAAAGCACCTCTTGAACCAGCTTTGCTGCCTGGTGGGACTTGGAGAATGAAGCCCTCTCCTGATCTACAGGACAGCAGTAACAAACCCCTGTCACAGCACCTCTCGGGCTTTTGAATGTTACTTCCCTGATCTCACCAGTCAGCACATTTCATCAGGTAGGTAATTTTTTGTTACTGGAATGAAAGATGTCCACTAAAATACATCAACTATGAAAAGTATGGATATTTTATATAGTCCTCTAACCTTACACATTTCCGTGGTAGCTCCACTAACACTTCAATACTTTGAAGTATTTTAGAATACAACACACACCACTTCTAACACCAATTGCTATGATCTCTAACACCATCGCTAGCACTCAGCACCTTCCCATTTTTCAGGATTTCCGCAGCTGCAGCTACCTTACCCAGACAGCAAAGCAGCAAACACATAACAGCCCTTGGAAATCTCATCTTGCTGTAACAGCACTAAGGACTATCATAAAAATTGTGGTATGCGAGAACTCTGAACGTGCACACCAGTATTGAAAATAATTGAATACCGTCACTTATGAGTCCAGGCAACACTGGCTTCAATTTGTACGAAAAGAAACATGTTAACACGTTTCTTGTTTAAATTTTAAAGCTTCACTCCATAACCGTTTCACAACTTGAAAACAGACTTTGAACTACTAAATGCTCATGACCCGTACCAAAGATTACTGTAGAATAGCACTGTGGAGAGAGCAGCTGTTGTACTTAGTGCGTGCAGAGGTTGACAGTATTAATATAAAACCTCTCCACAGCTCCGGCTGGCTTCATCTGCCAGGGAACAAAAACACACACTGGTCACTGTAGGCAGGCCTGTTGCATGACTGGCTTCTAAAATACAACTCAAACAAGACTTTTGGAGAGTTGTCCTCAGATTTGGCAGGTGAAGACTTTGTTACATCCAATTTTATTTTTACAAAAAAGCTGTAACACGCATGCCAATAAGAAAATTGGTTCTTCTGTCTTAAACCACGTCAGTCCTTTTTCTGCTGAGCAGCCTGCTTGGCATTGTTGGCCTGCATCTTCTTCAGCCCCTTTTTGTTGTGTTTCTTTGCAAATCTCATGTTCCTCAGAAACTTGGGATCAACCTATAAAAATAAGGAAAAAATAAGCCATGTTGTAGAAGGGACATATGTAAAAATGTATGTAGCTCCAGATTGTTCCAATTATTCCCAAATGCTGGCTGTGATTAATTCACCTTTTTTTTCTGATTTATTACATCAACAAAATTATTTTAGCCATCTGTAACCATCCTTTAACTAGCTCTTTTCCTTAATTTCCATAAACAAACAAACAAACCAAGACCCCCAGCAATAAACATACAGAAAGAACAGGACAAGTTGAGTAAAGCTGTAAACAACACAAATTTCATTTCCATGTCACAATACATTCTGGATCTGAAGTACCACAAACCAACCTTGGCAGGTGAACCCATATACATGTAATCCTTGGGAAAAGACCAATGCCACCTCCTCAGGCCTTTCCTTTTTACATTAAAGGAAAAAAGTACCAGCACAGAGTAGAGCAGCTCCCCAGTTTTTGTCAGCTAATGGCTGGCTAATGCATCCTGTCATGGCTAGGATCAATTCTCAGAACTATCGGCTACTGTCCCACTGAGAAACTTTTGCTATTTTACTGTAAGCAGCATTTTAACTGGCACACGTAACTCATGCACGCTCGGTGGAAGGAGACAGAGACTGCCAGACTATCTACAGGAGGGGGCACGACTGAACCCTCACTGAGCTACGCAGAAGACAAGCTTTTATGTAACATCCAAAAAGCCAATAATCACATCTACAAGGCAAACAGAATCACAGCCCTCCTCCAAGCCAAAATGTCCTGTTTTCACTTTCAAGAGTAGAAAAGGATCCTGTTACATCACTTGTCTAATCCCAGAAAAACCAAAATGCTGTCATTTTCATATGTATTGTCCAGAAATGCCAATTCCTCTCATCTTCTAAGTCAAATTCTCTGGATTAGTACAGATGGCAAAACAATACTGAAGGGTACAGAGAAGTAGGAGAGACAGCAAGACTCAAGAGGGAGAAGACCTATCCAACTGACACGTGCTTGTTTCACTGGAACCAGCAGTTAGGGACACCCACCTGAGCAGGACCGCGACAAAATTAGCTAGTAACTAAAAAGCAGTTTTATAGACGTACAAGGGCAGATTTCATGTGGGTTAGAAATAACAGCTGCATGTAAAGTAAGCAAAAGATGAAACAGAAACCCACAGTAGTTCTGACCATCTGAAACACAAGCCCCTGACTGCAAAAAAGTACGTCAGTCAAAATAATACACGTACTGGATTTTTTCCTGATTAAGCCTCAATGGCTTAACAGCCTGAGAATATCAACAGACATACTCACCCCTTTGAGAGACTCGTATCTATGGGATCTGGGTTTCTTGATGCCATTTCTGTGCCACTTACGGGCTACATGAAAGACCAGAAAACAATTTAAATCACCATTTTTGCCATTATTAAATAGCTGCATTAGCTTTCCTTTAAGTCCAGCTGACCCCATCAAAATGATACAGAACAGAAAATTTTCTAACCCTTCCTAACCAAACTAAATGCAAATTAAGAAAGCATCTCTATTCTCATCCCTCCGCACACTGTTCTCTTGGCACTGTAAAAGTTTCTAATCCAAGGATTTCAGGCTGCTCATTAACCAATAACATACCAAGAACAACACCACTAGCAAAATAAAACGCCTCAGTCACCAAGTTCAAGCACATGTGTTTAACGTTAAAGGTCACCATTGTTCACTGTGCGAGACCAAGCAGAACCTACCCGTGAACTCTGCTAACTTACACCATTGATGAGAAAACCCCAAACAAGAACTATTTTATCACTGTGGTCATCTTTGGATAGCAAAGTACCGCAGGCTGAATACCAATTGGTAATGTGCTTAGGTCAAACATATGAAACTTGCTTTTTTGCCTGGTTACATATTACTTTTATATTGAGCCCAAACAAGCCCTGGCTCTTGCCGAGCTCTCTTTTCATTAACCACACCATCCCATCTCTGCGTGCCACCACCTCCTTCCCTCGCGAGCTTATCTCGCTGCAAAAAACAAAAAAAATAAAAGGAAGACCGCGCTGCCATAACTGAGCAGGTCAAAGCAGCTGACTAAAACCTCTCCGCGGAGCGCAGCCGCGGGCCCCCTCCAGCGACAGCACCCTCCCCGCCTCCGCCGGAGCCGCAGCCCGCCTTACACTGGTTGTGCGTGGTGTGGTTCTTGGACTTGGCCATGGTTGCACCTGCGGGAAAGAGAGGCACCGCTCAGTCGGGGAGGGCTGGCGGGGCGCGCCCCGGCTCCCACCCAAAGCCTTCCCGGGG